GAGAAGAAGGGGGCAGTGATGGGTATACGCTTTTGCATCAGACGAGAAAGTTGCATTTCTCTTCAAAGAAAGATGCTACTCTGCTAGGGCTTCCACCTCCATGTGAATGAAAAGAAGATGGAAAATGGGAAAAGATGGAAAACGTTGGCAATAGCCACTCTCATACTCCCCCTTCTCTTACCCCATGTTGGTCTGCTCTAGATCAGGAATGCTGACCTATGCCAGTGAATCTCACTGTTTCCCACCTTGCCCCCCAAGCTATTTTTCTGCCTGTGGCATCCCTCTTTATCCTCCCTCCGAGCCTGTGCCCCTAATCCGGCTTGTAGCTGGCAGCCTCCTGTGGATGGCACCAGAGATGGCTGAACAACTGGTGAAAAGCTCCTCACGAAACTAACCCTGGCCATCGCATCCTTTGCAATTAATTGTATTTTTACCTGCACTCTTCTTACCGCAGACAAAGGCAGATGGCAAGAAAACAAGCCAATGTGAGGGATGTCTGAAAGAGAAAAAACAAAACAAAACACATTAGTAAAGAAAGAGGGAGGGAGGGAGGAAGAGGAGGAGGGAGAGAGACACCATTCAGGAGAGGAGTGTAGCAGGAGGGAGGAGTACTGACAGCCCTGCACCAGCATAATGACAGCGTGGAGGGTCAGGCCCTGAGGCTGACAGTAGATCTTGAGCTTGGGCAAGCATTGGGTTTGTGCTCATTAAGTTCTACTTACTGAGGCAGGGAAGCAGTCTCGGATAGTTTAGGATGATTTGAGACAGGAAAGACTTTCTGCCTTGCATTCTTAGTCAACCGGAATCCTTTCCCTGTTCCCTTTCTAAAATTTCAACTCCTTCAAAAAAAAAATTTCCCCAGTTCTTTGTACCAGAGTTAGCACAACCAAAACAAAACCAAAAACCCTGCAAGAATGGTGTTTTGGGGTTTATGATAGAGGTTAGCTGATGGCTCTTGACTTCCTAAAACTAATTCATATATTCTGTCTTCCTCTCTCTGATCTCTCTCTCTCTCTCTCTCTCACCCACTTTCTCTCTCTCTCTCTCTCTCTCTCTCTCTCTCTTCAGCATTGCTGGAGAAAGCTGCTTTGCTTTCTCTGATGTGACAGATAGTAATGATAGTTCTCAGTTCTGTGGTCTGACAGTCAACAGAAACCTTAGAGCCAGAGCCAACAGAGGGAAATAAATCTTATTTAGGTGCTGCCAACACTATGAATTTTATTAAAGGACGTTGACTCATTTTGCAAGAAAAGCCTTCCACTGGCAGCTGAGACAGTGTCATTGGGTAAAAGGCTTTGATCCTTTTCTCTTCTTTGTGGAAGAGAACTTGGCTGTCAGACTCTGCAGGTTTAATTAACACATTAATTTGAGTGGCTGTGAGTTGTTGTTGTCTCCTTTAGGTATGATACCAGGCTGGACGATGGGGGGAAATATTGGAAGTAGTAGATAGAATATACAGAGCAGCTTTGGCTAAGGGTAAATTGCAGTATACTGATATTTATCGTTCTGGTTTGTTCATTTGTTTGTTTTTTAGGTATAAGCCTCTACTGGGATTCCATGGAAATAAGATCTATTCCCCTGATAAGTTACCTTTGTCCACCCACTGGGAAGCCTGGATAGTTTACAAGATAGATTCATCACTAGGGAATTCGCATGGTACAAATTGACACTTTTCTCCCCCTTGCCCAACTACTATGTGTTAGATATTTTCTAGAAGGAAAGGATTCCCAACACCTATAAACTTCGTAGTCTCATTGAAGGGGCAGAGAGGGGTCTCCGATATTTTAGAACGACTTCTAGAAAGGAAGGAATTTCTGCCTTGCATTCATAGACGGCTCTCTTGGAAGGTTACTAAGAAAATTAAATATAAATGTGTAGCCTGTAGCTTGATACCATCTGCGGAGCCATGGAAATGAGGCCACCGGGAATTTTAGAGTGTAGGAGAAGGTTCATAGAAAAGGCCTATTTTGCTCTGGGCCTAAAAAGAAGACAGGCATCGGGGTTAGGCAGGTCTTAAAACCACCTCAGCCAGAGTGGGGAGCATCAGTGGGGAAACAGCACAGGAAGTCTGCTCAGGTGTGAATGAGAACGTGAGAAGGGGAGTCCAACAGCACTAAAGGATTCCTCTCGAGAGAGAAAACGGGGGGAAAAAATGTCACTGAGCTGAATGAGAGAGACTTGGTTTATTGGATTGTCTGGGACACCTACTGCTTGAGGGGCCTCTGGGTGCTCACAAATAACAAAGCGGCTCCTTGAAGAGGATAAAAACAAATATCATGGGACATACCTGACTGGTCCACAGATTCTGAATCCAAACCTGGGGGATCAATTAAAAAAGACATAGAGGAAAAAACACACACGGATGCGGGCACCAGGTAATTCCTCACAAAGACAAATTCTGTGTGGAAGGCAGGGACGGCAAACCCTTGGTGTCACCATATGAGCCGTCAGAGTTAATATTTGATTTTCAGGGTATATGTGAGTCCGGCCTCATGCACAGAATTGTCGTGAATTCAAGCCATCCTGATTCTATTACATTTGCATAGATCTTTGTATAATAATAGAAATATTAACATACATTTATATATAGACATGCGCACACACAACAGTGTGAACTCTCTTCTCTTTGTTTTTTTCTTTTTTTTATTTAAATTCAATTAGCCAACATAGAGTACATCATTAGTTTCAGATGTAAAGCTCAGTAATTCATGAGTCGCATATAACACCCAGTGCTCATCACATCATGTGTCCTCCTTAATGCCCATCACCCAGTTACCCCGTCCCCCCACTTAACCTCCCTTCTAGCAATTCTCAGTTTGTTTCCTATACTTCCTATAGTTTCTTTTTTTTTCTTTTTAAGATTTCATTTACTTATTTGACTGAGAGAGACACAGCAAGAGAAGGAACACAAGCAGAGTGAGTGGGAGAGGGAGACACAGGCTTCCAGCTGAGCAGGGAGCCCAAAGTGGGGCTCGATCCCTGGACCCTGGGATCATGACTTAAGCCAAAAGCAGATGCCCAAAAACTGAGCCAGCCACGCACCCCTAGTTCCTGTAGTTTCCCATGGTTTTTCTGCTTCTCTGATGACTTCCCATTCATTTGTCTTTAAACCATGGGAAAAAGTGCAGCTATGGGCTTTAAAAAAAGATAGAGCAAGGGGAGAGGGAGAGGCAGATCCTCCCAGACGCAGGTACTTGCTGTTGTTCTGCAAGTTTGTGTGCTCAGACGCCAAGTGTTTGGGACATGCTGGTGAACCAGAAACAGGACATGCATACTCCGTCCGCTTGGGTTCAGAATTAAGAGGGAATGTGTTGTCCCATCCCTTGTTATCTCTGTGAGGGGAGCTGCCTTCCCATCTCTCCTTCGCACCCTGAAAAGGAATCAAGCATAAAATGTACCCAGTCATGATAGAGCAGAGAAAAAATAGTAAGACTTGAAAGAAGAAGCCACAGATTCTCCATGCCTGGATGCCCGAATACTGTGTAGTTGGAGCCAATGGAGCTGCTTGCTTAGTAATCACATATTTCAGTTTCCTTGGGGGCAGTGGGAGGCTTTAAAATGAGTTTTGATCCAATGGACACAATATCATATGACGCTCTTCCAAGGGTTGGTATATAGTCACTCGAGCTGACCTGTCCCTTGGACTCACTCAGTGCATCTGCAACCTGGGTGAGTCACTTGGTGAGTCATTTGACCCTTCAACTGAGTGCTGGTGCTGGAGGGGACAAGGCTGGGCAGTCATGGTACTCAGGATTGTATGACTCATTATCCATTCACTGTGGGATTTGGCGAATGCAGTGGTGGAAGATTGGGGTGTCAGTAGGTTACAGACCAGGCACATAGTAGAAAGGAGGTATTCCAAATGATATTTATCAAATCAGTAGCCAGTAGTCCATGGAACCAGAATGCCGGGAGCAACAGGTGTCTCCAGGCTGCCATCTAAGGACGCTTCCATGGAGCTGTAGAGATTATTGGAGAAGAGCAGAGATGTGGAGTGAGCCAAGATACGGAGCAGGAAGTAGGAGAAGAATTGTGTTTGGTGGGGGTGGAGCATATGGAGCTTTAGACCCTGGCTCATGAGCACTGCTGCTTTGCCTTGCCCTGGAGATGCTGAAGCAGTGTAGCACGTGGCCTTGAACTCTTACCAGCTGTGGAGCCATCTGTAAAATAACTTCTGATACCATCACAGGGATGGCACATGGATTAAATGAAATAATGCCTCAGAAGCCCTTGGGTCCCAGTGAAAGTGTCGTCCGCGTGGGCTGCCGGAATAGCCTGCAGGTTCTCTGGCTGTTGTGGAAGAGACCAGCACTGGCTCCTCTGGGCCACCGGGTCAGTTCCAGTCTCCCCAACTTGCCACTCAAAGCTGTGTTCCCGGCTGCCCTCCACATTCCCATCGACTCTTACTTAGCTAAGCCAGGCTTATTTGTATCTGCCCTTATATACCTCACCAGCCTGACCCATGTTGCTCCTTGTGTCACGCCTGCCCCATTTCTGTCTGTTTGAACGCTGGCATTCTTTCGGGCCTCAGCTGACTCTGCACACGTCTGTGAAGCACCCCTGACTGACTTCTGAGTCTTGTGGAGGCGATACTGCCTGGTTGTCAAGAGCCACGTATCGGATTTTGCCCTTCTTTGTAATCCATGCAGTGATCTGTATAGGCTAGGTCAAGTGGTATGGCTGACTGTCACCAGGTAGAACGGGCATGAATCCCCACTCATTCTCATGTTTGGGGGGCATGTGATCTCCAACAAATGACGTAATCTTCCTGAACTTCAGCTTTCTTAGTTCTAAGGTGGCGATATAACACCCGCCTTGCAGAATGTATGTGAGGAGTAGAGACGGGATGTGGCTCATTCACTTGGCACATGGCAGGTACTCAGTAAACAGTAGGTACTACTGTGGTGGTGGTGGTTGCTATTAGTATTGATCCAGCGAAACTAATATTATGTATTTAATGTACTGGGGTCAAGGTGTGAAATAATTTCTCTTCTCTACAGTTATACAGCTCTGCTGAATTTGGGAGAAGGTGGCAGCTTATCCAGGAAGGGGTCGTACCTAACAGGTTCTACTGGTAAGTCTCATTTTATGTTGTAGCCCATTAAGGGATTACCTAGTAAATGAGCGCTAGAATCTTCTTCTCACCCAGATCTCTCACATGAGATTACGCCTACATCCCCGTAGGGCAGGATGTGAGACTGGAAGAGTCAGCATTTCAGGGGAATGTTAAAGCTGTGCCTCAGATGACTCAATGAGCCCCAAATAGATCGTTGAGATTAGTGAAGGACAAGGGCTTTGTAACAGCTGTTTTGTTATATTTTGATGGGACTTGTGAACTAGGCACTTAAAACATTTTAATACTGGTTTTTATCACTGAAAACATTATACACATGTATGTTACATGTTCAGAAAAGCGTTCTCAGTGTAAATAAGTAGATCCTTTTAGTCTAAGGGTGGGATCTTCCTCCCATTCCCGATTTCACATCTCCTGGGTCTCCTCATCATATGGGCACAACTGGCATTCTTAGTTTCTTATTTCTCCTACCATAGATGTTCTGTGAGTTACCAAACATGTATATCTCCTTAGCGTGGCCTGCCTGCTGTAACACAACACCATCGAGTCGTTAGCTTGAACAACACATTTATTTCTCATGGTTCTTGAGGCCAGGAAATCCAAGGTCAAGGTGCCGGCAGATTCAGTTCCTGGTGAAGACCAGGATATTGGAGAGGATTTTGCAAGATGTTTCGGAGGATAGTGCAGGATATAGCCGAGCGCTGCCTACTTGCTGTGTCCACAAGCGAGGAGAACAACAGAGAAGCAGCAAAAGAAAGAAGGAAGCAGAGAAAATAATACTCTTCCTTTTCTTTACCACTTGTGCCCATACCCACCCCCCAACCCCATTTACACCAGAGGTAATTTTGACTTTACCTATCCGTTGCTTTTGAATTTACAACCTAACCCCTGCCAAAAGATATGACTCTACCCTACCTGATCTAATCTGCCCACGGAAAGGATGCTTAGGTTATTTGTAGATGTCTGCTGGTATAAACAGTACTTCAAGAACTAGATCAAACAAGAGTTTCAATATCTCATGTCCACATCATTCCAGAATCATTGGAACCATGACATTTTAGGGGCCAGCAGTCTCCCTGCACCTCTGAAAGGTGTCTCCCCTTTACTTCTCCTGAAATCACACTGCCTCTATCAGCCTTTGGACTTACAGGCACCTGCTATCCCCACACCAACACCAATTATCTCACTTCTAAGAGTAATGCATTTTCATCTTTCTTCTTTTCAAACCCTGCCCTAAAAATCCCTGTGGGAACTGAAAGCCAGAGGAACTGCATTAGAGGAATCTCTTAAAAATGCTTATGAAACTGCCTAAAAAAGTGAAATTTGCAAACAATGGGCTGGAAGATAACACCCAGAGAATTCTGTAAGGAACGATACCTAATTTTCTGCTGCCAGAAAGAGATGTTTATAACTAAAGAAGGATTTTGGTGCACAGAAGCTGTTCACCTCTTTCCCACTGCTGCTCTGGCTCACCAGTGGCTGGATGCTTGCTCTCGGGGTCCACATTGGCCTCGGCCTTCTCCAGGAATTCCGCTCTAGCTGTCACGGAGTCTCCCTTCTCCGGTCAGCATTTCCTCTCCTCCTCTCTTACTCACCCTGTCGCTTATACACGCGACACCTTGCAACTCTGTATGTTTTGCCTCTAAAGTATAAAATATGTATATAAAATTTTATATATAAAATGCATAAGGTCACGTTTTGGGAAGAGGGTCCATGTTTTTTGTTTCCATTTTTGTTTTTCATTCTGTCTTTACCTGGTGCCATATGAGCAAAGAAAGGCTTCAGAAAATAAATAAATGAAGGACGAAAATAAACTAATGGCGTCCACCTAATTTAACCTGGAAATGGAGTTGACAGGGACCAGTCTTTTAAGTCCTGATTCTGAAGTGACTTGAAGTAGCTACCTGTGGACCCAGCAAAGTTTCCATTCACAAAAGGACTGGATGGACATGTGTTCCTACCAGTAGAAATGAAGAAAAATGTTGACCAAAAAGATAGGCAAGAAGAAAGAACTGAGAAGGGAATATTTTCCGTGTAGATGGTTACATGGTACGCAATATTTTCCAGGACACTAAAGGTCTTACCTAGATGCAGCACTGTGAGGTGAACAGACCCTATCATTGCTTTGGCTGGTCCTAATTGCATACACTCTTATCTGTTCTTTGAATGGGGGTCTTTTATCTGAAAGCCTGATAAGCAAAGCCCTTATAATGAAATGTCATAATATCATTATCTTTATAAAAATGATTGTGGATGAGTTCTGATTAATCTGTTAAGTAAAACAAATAATGCCCCTCCTTCTACCTTTGGAAACAGAGAGACACATCTTCTCTATTCAGGCCCTAATATTGTGATAAGCACATTCAGATTTAAGCTGTTTAATTCCCCTAACAGTTTAATAAAGTGAGCCTTGCATTATCATCATTCACAGATGGGAAACTTATGGCATGGAGAGGTTAACTAATTTAGCCAAGGTCACACAGCCAGAAAGTAGCAGAGCCAGGATTCAGTTGCAGGCAGTTTGGCTCCAAGGTCCATGCTCTGCTAAGTCAGTAGACTTCCTTGCCTCTTCCTCTTGGCTTTTTTTTTTTTTTTTTTTTTTTTTTTTTTTTTTTTTTTT